GAAGTAGTTCTTCACATTGTCTGTGAGCTAAATAAGAATGTTCTTAAAAATGTGCCTTGTTGGTTAAAATTAATATGACTATATAGTTCATTTTAAAATATTTATTTATGCTGTTCTGCTAAATACAATGATAAAATTTCTTGTCTTCTTACTAACTGACTTACCAGCAAATTTGACAGCCTGATCCCTGCTTCATCCTTGAAACATTTACTTCACTTGGATTCTAGGACTCCACACCTTTCTGGTTTCCCTTTTATCTCAATAACCTTTTCTTCTGGTCTCTTTGCCCAGTTCCTCCTCTTCTCATTAACCATTTGTTGTTTTCTTTTGCTCTGTTTGAGACTGGTTTATCCTATTCATCTTAGAATGCCCTTGGATTCACAAGGTAGCTCAAGCTGGCCTCAAAAGTGCCTCCATAGTGCTTGGATTACAGGCTCATGGTACCATCCATACCCAGCTTCATCGACCCCTGGAGGTAGCAGCACCCAAGATTCTGTTTCAATTTTCTGTTTTCACTTACTTCCCTAAATGATCTCATGTCATAGACATTAAAAACCATCTATATGCTGATTACTATTAGATAACTAATAACTCCATATGAGCCCGTCTCTCATGAACTCTGAACTTCTTTTGAGCTATATCCATATCCATTCTCAATCTCTTCACTTAGATACTCAACAGACATTTCAAATGTGCACATCCAGTACTGAACTCCCATGCTTTAGCCCTTCTCCACAGCCAGCCTGATTCTCCCATAATTATTCCAAATTCATGGAATGCAATTCCATTTCTTCACTTGACAGGTCAAAAACCTGAGAGGTATCCTTGAGTCTCTTCTTGCAATTATATGCCATATCTAACAAGTAAAGGAAGTCAGTTGGCTTTTCTTTCAAACTTCACTATCAAGATAGTCAATGTTTGTGACACAGCTATGTTCTTAGTTATCATGATCTCCACCTAGCTTGCAGTAGCTTGCCTGTCTCCTTTTCTGTTTAATTTCTCAAATTACTTTGTGAAAATCAAAGTCAGTTTAATAATGTTACTTTTTTTGCTCCAAATTCTCCATTAAGTTTCTACTTCCTCAATTGGTTAAAGCTTACCATGACCTTCTTTGATCATGGCCAGCCCAAATCTAATCTCATTACCTCCCTGACATTGTAGTTGATTTCCCACTTATTATTTTGGCTACAGTCATGCTGTAGGTATTGGCCTGACTTGAGGCCTTTGTTCTTGGTGTTTCTCCCTTAAGAAGTGGGCATTCCCCAATATTCAAATGGCTAACTTCCTCATCTCCAGTAACTCTTTGTTCAGGGAAATCGATTGTTCTACCCTGATAACAAACTCCTATTAGAGTAGACAACCCTATCTAAAATTGCCACTCCTTCTCATCTTCATTAACTTTTTGAATCTTCTTATTATCAATTACATTTCTTGTGTGTGAGAGAGTTCATGATGTATCCATGTATGCGCACATGTGTGTGCAGGTGCCTGTGCCTGAGAATGCGTATATAGAGTCAAGAAGTGGACATCCATATACTTATCACTCTCTACCTTATTTCCTGAGACAGGTTCTCTCACTGAATTTTTGGCTCAGCAGTTGTCTGTGTAGATTGACTTCCCACCATGTGCCTTCTATCTCCTACCTTCCTGGAGTTGACATGACAGGCTGATCCTGGCACACCTGGCTTTTGGTGTGGGTGCCGGGGCTCTAAACTCATATCCTAGTGTTTGCATAGCAAGTACATGAAACCCTGGGCCATCTCTTTAGTTACATCAATTACTTCTCTAACAAACTATTCAACTCATCTATTTATCAGATATATTATTCACTCTCTCCATTCCCCTAAAAAATAGGGAATTTTTCTCTATTTTTATTCATGAAATTGTCCCCAAGTTTTATTTATTAATGTTTTCCAAGTGTCTGGCAGGCCCTACCACATAAATATTTATTAAATGACTTAGTAAGTATATAACATAACATCTATATATGCATAGATTTTTTTCTCATATATTTTATTTTAAAAAGTATTTTCAACAATAGTAATACTAGTATCTATTATAGAAGATCAAATTGATTGCACCAAACTATTTAGCTGTTTAGATGTAATTCAAACAGTATAAAAAATTCAATAGTTGGTAGTTTTCAGTTACAGTCATGTGCAGAGCAAGATATAGATATTCAGTATTGGCCTTAAAGAACGTAGGTAAGATTGTAACTATGGTTGCCAAAAAAAGACATTCTTAGTACTGTCCACTTGGATGAAGATCTTCACCTATTCAATGACAGATCTGATATTTGAAAGTGCCAATATGGGTACAATGACAGTCAACACTCTCAAAACTGTTGATATGAAAACTCATGGATGCTGTATCAGTATTTGAACACTGTTTTACATATTTTATTTGATTGTTCAACCTTGTCTCATATGGCTTCATGTTCTACTTACAAATGATAAAAAAGAGTAACTAAGAGACATGATAAAGATCATACACACACACACATATATATCACATATATATACACACACACATATATATCACATATATATACACACACACATATATATATATACACATGTATCAACTACTCACCTTATTTATTTTTTACTAAATTTGTATCTCTGTTCATAGTAGCTTTGGTCAGACATCTACTTGTTAAAAGTTAATTGTCATTTGTGGAAAAAGGACCAAGAGATGAAGAACATACATCACCACTCAAAGTCCTAAGTATTATTACTTCCTGGAGGCTCCAGTTCTGCTTACAAGGTGAAAAGATTCGAAAGACTGAAATACATCAGACCAGAATGTAGATGGTACATTTATTTGCCTTCGCAACCCTCCAGATATTTCTAAAATGGTCTGTTTTTATCAGTCTACTAGCTACATTAACTAGTATTTATTGAGTAATTACTCTGTATCATATTTTACATTTACCAACTGTGATAGTTAATAGTGTCAATTTGATGAGATCTAGATTCATCTGCTATAAAAGCCCACGGAGATGCCTATAAGGAATTACTTAGGTTGGGTTAGCCTCTAGACATACCTGAGAGGGATTTTTCTAGATTGAGTTAGTTGAGGCAAGAAGACTTGCCCTGTATGGGCTACACCCATTCTATGGACTTCTATCCTGGACTGAATACAAAGGAGAAAATGAGCTGAACACTAGCATTCATTTTCTCTGCTTCCTGACTGCAGATAAAATGTTACCAGTTGCCTGAAATTTCTCCTGCTAATATTTCACCAGAATGATGAACTGTGCAACCAAACTGTGAGCCAAAGTATACCATTGCTTCTTTAACTTACTCGTGTCAGGATATGTTACCATAGCAACAGGAAACTTAGCTAATTCATTACCTGGCTTAATTTTCTGTACTGTTGACAAACTAGAGTTAGTTCTGGGATGAGAAAAGAAGATGGGGTAATAGTGATAGAGTTAAAGGTGGTAGGTTTGAAAAGAGGAGTTATAGTCTAGAACTCATAAAGACTGGAGGTAAGGATTGCATTAATTGTAAAATCCAAGAAACGTTTTGTAGGAAAGAAAGATGGCATTTATTTACAGAGTAGATGTGAAGTAAAAGTTGCATGGATCAATGTAATTGAACGTCAGACTTGGTCTAAATGAAGCTGAATTTCTTGAAAGTCAAAATTACCCTCCTTGTGAGTTACTGAAGACCTACAATCGGAAAGACATGGAGTGATGTCATTTGTAGGTCATAAACAGAGGAGATGCCTGCTCTGTGAGAGTTGTCCCAGAAGAACTCTTTTCCACCTCTCAGACCCTAGGACTGGTGATGATGTCACCTTGGAGAATAAAGAGTTCTGGACAGGTACTGCCAGCCACAATGGTGCAGTAAGATTAACTCTACAACATATTTTCTGTCTCTGGTTGGTCTTACCCACCCCTCAGCATGTTAGACCATTTAAGAAACTTAGATCTTTGTTCTCAGATTCCTTAAAAGCTGAACCTTAGCCTAGAGGTAAGAGGAATTGAAGGCTAACCTTTGCCACACTCTCCTCCAAACCAGTCATAATGAGAAAGAACAGAAACAATCAGGAGGAAGGTAGAAACATGATATGGAAAGAGGTACAAACAGGGCCATAAGAACAGGAAGATTTGGGCTCCAGAATAGGGGAGAACTATGTGAAAATGAAGTAGGAACAACTTCTCTCCTAGGAAGACCTTAACCAAGACTAGTAAGGAAGAAAAACCTCTGTCCACACGAAAGACGTGTGAGTGACCAGACAGTAGCCTTGGACCAAAGCAGAAGATGGGAGAAAAGGTGGACGGCACCAGCCGACCACTTGAACTTGAACTCCTTCCGCTGAATGTTGCTACTCTAGGCAATTGTATGCTGCCTGGAGACTATACGGAGATAAGAGCTCTAGTTTCAGAGTGTTTCATGAATTTAAGGGAAAACTGAATCTTTTTTCTTTAGATGGGAACTCTTAGGCTTCATAAAGGTAAAAAACAGCTCTCAGCATGAATAAACTCCTCTCAGCAAGAACAAAACAGAAATCCCCATGAAAGTTAATTTGACTTTATCTTCTGAAATACCAGGTTTCTGGAAAAGAAAAGAGGGAAGGTTTTTCCTCATTAAAAGCACAAAGTGTTTCCTTTTTTTTTTTTTTTTTTTTTTTTTTTTTTTTTTTTTTTTTTATGCTGTCAGTTCAAATTCTGAGGAGTAGTACAAGATTATTCAGGATGTGAATGAATAGCCCCTTTTGTTAGGAGGAAGGCACCAGCTAGAAATGTCAGCAAGAAAAGATGGGCACACATCTCTTCTACAGATACATGTGACTCAAGAAGTTCTGACCTGTTGGTCCCTTGGTGGTGGAAAACATGCAGAATGTCAGAGAGGGAGCACCTGAAAATTTGGGGCACTTATGAAGACCCCTTACCTCAGGATTATGGCTCCTTTTAAAGGGAACTTTTCTCAAACCATGTCACCACATAAAATAAGCAATCAAATTCTGACGGCATTTGAAGGGGAACTTACACGTGCAGAAGGCATGATCCCGAACATAGGGAACATTAAGCCAGGCAGTAGAGCTGTGATTGACAGTGGGAAGGATTCTGTGATCCAAAGGATGGCAACAACGAAGAGGACGTAGGCACATTCTGCTTCCTGCAAAGAATCAAGACAAGGCGTAAGGTGAAAAAACGAGCCTCTGAAATTACCCTTCAAATCATGACCACATTTGCTGGATGGAGCTGAGAGAGAGGGAGCTGTGAAAAATTCTGTGTTGTTAAGTTTCCAGCAGATAGTTGTTTTTAAAGGTTTTGGAGCAAAAGTTAATAAACATGAAAACTGGAAACCTAGAAAAATTCCCCTATTTTCTTTCATATTTCCTTCAAAACAGAATATCTTAGAGTCAATTTTCTGTGCTCTAATAATTAATGTACATAGATGTCTGTCTTCACGCTCATTTGGCATCTCGAATGTTCTCTGAGTATTGTTGGGGTGCAGAAAAAGGCAGACTGTAGACATTTCTTCATGATATATCTTTCTTTTAATTGTATTGTTTTTCTCTCTTAACTCTACGTGTTTGGCTAGAAACTGCATCCATACTTTCTAACCAAAAGTGGAAAATCAACCTAGAAGAAAAGACTTCCTGTAGTGTATCTCAGAGCAAGCACATGAGATATGTGGCTCAGATGAGCCTGAATACAGCTTCTAAGCACATGAATTTGGGGGTGCAGAGGTTCATGTGCTTAGAAAAAAAAACTTGCTTTTTGAGGAAAGCAGCAGAGTTACTGCAGACAGCACAGGAAGGCTCAAAGGGAATCTTAATCTTAATGAAATCTATTGCTTTGTTTAGTTGAAAACTGTAGGTTTCTGTTTTAGGGCACTAAAAGGAAGTGGTTAAATTTATAACCATCTGTAACCTGTATAATTTGGTATGAAATCACCTGAAACGTGCTAAACAATCAATAAATGTCATCCACTACATTGCTGCTGCTTGTTCTCGTGCTGTTTGCTGTCTGGGAACTCAGAGTTGTTTGGAAATTTACTGAGAGAGACTGTGGCTAGGGTTTTGATGAGGTCTTTTCTTTAGGCCTGTACACTATCCAGCTTTCCTCTCTATGATTCACTGGCATCAGTCTGAATCCTCTGGACTGGGCATTTGCTCCCCAGTATCCTTGCTCTTTCAGTGAATCTAAGAGATTCTTAATAAGCCCAGACTCTGCCATATCTTCATTGTATTACATTTTTAAAGGAAAAAGAATAAAGGTGTTTGATGTTGACAGTTCTTGCAGGGTCTGCCTCTGTAGTTCTGACAAACAATAAAAACAACAAAATAAAGCAGAGCCTTGACTGAATCCTTCTAAACAGCTCTAGAGAGAATCTATGGGCACTAGTTTAGCTTAAAATGCCAGTGTAGAGGGAAGGCTGTGTATTTCATTTTAGATGGCCCCAAAACTTTTCCTTACAACTTTATGTTTTCTGCCGTACTTGCAAGAAGATAGGTTTCAAAGACAGCATGGGCCCCTTGACTATCATATGCTCCCTAGTTCCCACCAACCAGTCTTCTGGTGCTGTTCACTGTTCTTACACTAAGCCTCAAATCTGCCCCTCTGCCTCCACCCGAGTCCATTAGAAGCAAGCTTCCAGACTTTCTTCTAAGAACTCAGCTTGATTTGATAACTCTCTTTCATAAAGCTAGATTAAGGCCCATCCACCCTGAAAAAACTCTAAAGTATCCACATATAACAGTCTGCATCAGAAAAATAAAAGGAAAAGCCAAAGGAAGCTGGCGAGTTCTGGTCACTACCTCTAACCTGTGCCATAGGCTTGAAATTTTACCTCAACAGCCCTAATCTACTCAGATAAGGCAGCTTTGGTAACAAAACAACAAGCAAAATCTCAATTGCTGAATGATTACCTTTTTTGGGAGATTTTCATATTTTAACTAACACAGATGCGACTTCATTGAGTCGGCACCTTTCAGTTGCTTTTTTTTTTTTTTGATAATTCAGGATTTTCAACTTACATTCAATAACCTTTACTTAACAATCAGACTTATCCCAATACTTCTTGACATCAATTCTTTATTTGCAAAGATGCTTCTTGACATGGTGGCACACACCCTTAGTCCTAGCATTAGGGAGACTGAGGCAGGGGGAAGAGGGATGCCATGAGATTGAAACTAGCCAGGTCTACATAACAAGACTGTTTCAAAATAGTCTCCTTTTTAGACCATTTTGATGTATGGATCTGATCCCTGCTGCTCACTTTTCATCAAACTCTAATTCACAACATTTAGCCAGGTTGTCTCCCAGGAAGAGTCAGGACCTCCCCAAGTGTTTCTTTTTACCCACTTCTGCTTAAATTATGGACTCTTGACCTTATTGAATGACTTGAAGTAGTTGAAAGTCTAACAAGCAAATTCAATTTGTTTGCCTCACAATACTTGTGTCTTTCTCTCTGTATATATATATGTTTGACTCAAGATTTATAAATCAGTGGATTTTTATATTAAAATACAGTGAATTTATGATTTTAACAAGTGAGAGACAGGGTAGTGTTAGCATGATATTGTGACATGGCAACAATTCTCCAGATTCAAAAAGAACTTCTATCTTATAGAGTGATAGCTGCTTTCTAGTTCCACATAGCACCTCCATACTGCCTACTCATCTGCTTCCCTTCCTGGCCTTAGTTAGGATTTGAGTCAATGTCTAGTAGCAATCCATTCCCTCCTCATTCTGACTTTCCTACTTGTGTCCTTCTCCCTGAGTTTTCATATTTGCTCATTGGCTTTCACTGCATATATCTCATATAATCCATGGACCAGCAATATTGAGATTATCTGGGAATTTGTAAGAAATGTAAAATGCTGGCTTGTTCTTGGATATACTGAAGCAAGATCAGCATTTTCAAGGTAACCAAGTGATATTTTGTTGAGTAAAGATTCAAAAGCTATGGGATATATGATCACTCAGTCTTTTCTTCTCATATTTACCTCTTGGTCCAGAATCCTGCTTATACGGAATATCTCTCTGTCAGGTGAAATCTCTGAATTTATAAGCTGTTTGGAAAGTCTTGTTATCTTGCAATGTGCAGTTCAAAATTGCATCTCATTCATGGAGTTTCCCACAATGGCATTTGAACATTAATTTTTCCATGTGAGTAATTAATGGAATTATAATTGTACCATATTTCTGTTGTCTCTGTTAGCTAATTTTCCTTAATCATAGGAATGTTCCATGCCTAAATGAAACTGAAGGTCTGGACAAGGAGGAAACAGAGTCACTCTTGCCTATGTCGAGTGAGGGAATTATTCTCCCCACCTGAAGCCACCCTCCACAGTCTGGCAGAAGTGTGCAATGCTTGTGATGTTGTTATAATAAACTGCAACCATAACAAGAGTACATTTTAATGCAAATTCTCTTCCAGAGTTAGAAAAGTCCTTTACTATTATAAATTCTTGAACAGAGAGACAGAAACCAGCATAGTGGCTCTTTTTATCTTGTTTATACATTATGACAGAAAATACAGGAAGAAAAGACCTATTTGGAATTACGACTATCACAGACATTAACAAAATGCCTTCAAAATCCATGATGGCTTTTTCAAAATGTCATATGTGAAGTGAGCAAAATGGAGACAGAGAAGGAATGAAAGGAGGAAAGGAAGGAAAAGGAAGACAGAAAACACTCATGAACTTCCTCAGGACTAAAAATGTCACTCACCTGTTCAAGTCTCTAGATTCCATATATATATAAATTGGTTTGAGGAAATGACACTCGTTCAGGGAGAGGAAGCTGTTTATTATATGCTCATCAGACATTCCATGAGATCACATGGAAGTGATGCCCTCTCCCATAACCTAGGATGCTTGCCTGTGCATCTCTCCTGCCTGCTCTTGTCTGCCTCCACCTTTTCCTACTGCAGGAAGGTTCTCTCCCATTAAGGGTGATGGAAGTGTTATGGGAAGACACTGTTCCTTTACAGGAAAAACACCAAGATGCTAAAGCTTTGGCTCAGCCTGTTTTAAAAGAGCCTTCAAGTTTCTAAAATATTTAGAACAGTTAGAAAATTACATAACAGATACAGTTGTTTATCATATTGAACAAGTATGGACATTCAGCTACATTTACTTTATTTTTTAAGATACAGAATGTTTCTGTGAAAAACTTGTCAGTCATTCCTTTATACCCTTTCCCTGGACTCCTCCCCCAGATGTGCCCCTGTCTACCATGTGGCTTGTCACTTTCCATCTGTGCTTCTTCTTTGGTTTTCCAAGACAGGGTTTCTCTGTGTTGTTTACAATCCTGGCTATCCTGGAGCTGGCTTTGTAGACCAGGGTGGCCTCAAACTCACAGAGATCCACATGCCTCTGCTTCCCAAGTGCTAGAATTAAAGGCTTGCACCAGCTGGAAATAAAGGTCAGCAAGACTATTAATATTGTAATAACTGTTTTTTTTTTCTTTTCTTTGTGTATGGTGTCTGCAGATTTGTGTATGAGTACACTTTGCTGTGTAGGCATGTGTGGGGGTCAAAGAATGTCTTTCTCAAACACTTCTCTTCCCTGTGTTTTGACAGGCTCTTGGTGGACCCAGAGCTCAACATCTGAACTAGCCTAGATGGACAGTGAGCCCTGGAATCCACCTGTCTCCACCTGCCAGCACAGGGGTTATAGATACAGACCACCACACCTGGCTTTTACATGAATGTGGATACCCAAACACAGATAGTCACTCTTGTGCAGTGAACACTACACCCACTGAGCCATCTCCCCAACCCCAACATGCACTTTTAAAATTAAACATTGCTTTAATTGTGTATCATTTTCACTCAACATTTTACATTGCAAATGTATTGTTAAATTTATTTTAAGTGGGCCGAATTTTCCTGTTAAAGAATATAATAGTATTTGTGTGTACAGCTTTCTAACTTCCCAATTTTTCAATACTATATGGCTGAAAAACATCTTTGTGCCTAAGCTCCATAGGGACATAGGAAAAAGATTTTCAATCCTAGAACAGAAAACAAGTAGCAAAATTTCTTGGTGGAAAAGCTTATTTAAAATTTATTAGGTATTTCTATTCTCTAAAAAGATGGTTATGCTAATTTATAGTATTGTTATTGGTACAACAACGTAAAACAATCCCAGCCTCTTT